CCCCTTACGAAACAATTACAGCTACTGTACAATACCGCTCACAGAATGTGAAAAATTGACGCTGATTGACAGTCCCGCCTATCAAAGACCGTCGCGCCACCATCAATCCGCTGAAAGTGAATGAAACAAAAAAAATGTACATAGGGCGGGAACTTCTCCTCCGTTGCAGTGCTCTTCACTGAACGCAAGACAGTGATTCTAAAAGAAAACGGCTCTGTGCCTCCTACTACCCCAATCACTCAAGTAAGGAAATGATTGTAAAGAAGGTTGTGAAGCTGGCTTCTTTCTCGCAGTGGTCCTCAATAACTGTCTGATCTTCAATAGCTTGTAAAATAATCGCATTGTGTTGCTTTTCAATAGAAAACAATCAATTGGATTGGTAGCTCTCCGCTTAGCTATCCAATTCGCATATGCAGCATGTTCATATTTAGTAAATTTAGGATGATGCATTTTCTCAACTACAATGCTCACACACGCATGTGAATTACTTAGCTCAATTTCTGCTTTCAGAGTGTCTCTCCTTTTAAACTCTGGTTAATTGGTTAACGAGAAATAAAGAACTGAAGGATCTTCATAGTGCAATCGATTCCCATTATGCCTTGATCTGCAAAGAGGCTGTACACCTCTCATATGATTTATGATATGATTTATTATCGGCTATCCAGATACAAACAGTGGCACACCGAAGCTCAATACAAATCACCGATAAGTAAAACGAAAGCAACAAAGTAGGAGACCTTAAGAGAGAAGGAGTGGATAGTCAGCGCGGAAGGGCAGTGGCCGCCAACACTGCAAGCTCAACGAGGCTAGAGAACTCCGGATACCAGCTTAGTAGGTCCGCCAACTTTGCCGCTATCCAACATCCTGAGTCTCGAAAACTAGGGTAATCAAAAGGACTGAAACAGAAAAAAAGAACAGAAATAAAGGTACATAGAACAAAAATCATCACTGTTATTCTTAATACCAAACCGATAGATCGCCTCTGTGCCTCATTTTGTGATAAAAATTCAGTTTCATGTTCTCAGAACCAACCTTGGGAAATCATGATCTTTCTAACTTTGTTTCTGAACGAGCGTGGAGAGCTCGAGTTAACGACGGAGGATGGCAATTCATTCCAGAGAGTGATTACCCTCTGTGTGAAAGAACTTCTAAATTCCGTCGAATTAGTTTTTTCTCTTAGAATCCTATAGCTATGACAGTTTTTTCTCTTAGAATCCTATAGCTATGACCCCTAGTACGACCAACTGTGTAAGACTTTTTGAAGAGAATATCGAAATCCAAGTCCACCAATCCAGCAGAAAGCTTGTAAACAAAGTCATAATCAAATAGCTTCCGTCTAAATTCTAGAGAGTCCTCGTTGAGATATACTAGCCTTTCTTTGTAGGGTATATGAAACAAACCTTCACGAGCAAATATACGCTCACGAGGGAGGTCTTTCAGGTGTACCCGCGCTTTCTCAAAACGGTTTTTTGCATGATGTAGAGGGATGTGCGTGGATTACAGAACTGTAGTCCATTTCCGGGCCTTCTG